AAGTCAGAACTGGCGGTCAGTTTCAGCAGCGGCTGAATCTGGACGCCAGTTCCGACTTACATACAGATTCAACTTAAGAACAAACCTACAGTCCCTATCTTGTATGTAACCCGGGGACTGCCTGTAATCGGTATTTTTACACTGAAGGCTACATTTTTGAAGGGCTTCCTTCCAGTTAGTCTATGTAAAATTCACACATACTCCCATTTGCATGCTATATTCACAGCTGTATATGCATACCAGATAATTTGTCCATGGCTAACTTTGTACACTCAAATCAATAATCCTTGGAAATCTTGGCCTTATTGCATGTGGTATAGGAAGGATTTTTAGATAATGCTCCTATAAGTCTTCAAAACTACTAGAAGTTACAGTAGAGCAGAATCTTGAAAAAGTGATTCTGTGCACTCAGTGCAAAAAGTGTATCTAACGTGATACTGATTCACACCATTTGTCCATTTAACTCTCTGTCTAGTCATCCGACTATGGCCAGAGCTGGTTGCTTTAGGGAGAATGAACAGGGGAATAACCAAGACTGCTCATCCAGTCCCAGCCTCTGTATCCCTGGGACACCTGGGCTAACAGACACTGAAGGACCCATCTTCCATGAACTTGTCAAAATCATATGTGAACCCAGTTATACTTTTGGCTTTCACAAAATGCCCTGCCAATAAGTTACACAGGTTGAATGTGCATTGTTTGAACAACGGCAGTCTTCTTAATCTCAATTCATATCAAAACTGTTCCATACCTTGAATTCTTTTTATTGCTTTTTTCGTTCCATTTGTTTTCCAATGATATATTTTGAGATGAGGCAGCCAAACCTGCAGAAAGTATTCAAGGTGTAAGTCTACCATGGATTTAAACAGTGACATATTGTTTTCTGTCTTGTAATCATTCCCTTTCCTAATGGTTTCTAATACTCTCTTTTGATAGTTATTACATATTGAGTTTTTTCGATTTAAGCTGCGCAACTTGAGCTACGTGAATTGTGTAGCATAAGTCAAAATAGCTTAATTTAGCTTTTGGAGCTGTCTACACAGCAGGAAGTCAAAGGAAGAACACTCTTCCTTCAACTTCCCTTACACCTCGTAAAATGAGGGTTACAGGAGTCAGAGTAAGACGTTCTCCAGCTTACTATTATTTCAAAATAATGGCTTGTAGTGTAGATATGCACTGATAGTAACTTATTGCTTAGAACGTAAGAACGGCCATACTGGGTCAGACCAAAGGTCCATCTAGCCCAGTATTTTATCTGCCAACAATGGCCAATGCCAGTTGCCCTAAAGGGAGTGAACATAACAGGTAATCATCACATGATTCTTCTCCTGTCATCCTTTTCCAGACAAACAGAGGCTAAGTACGCCATTCCTACCCATCCTGGCTAATAGCCAATGATGGACCTAATCTCCATGAATTTATCTAGGTCTTTTTCAAACACTGTTAAAGTACTAGCCTTCACAACATCCTCTGGCAACGAGTTCCAATAGTTGACTGTCCGCTGCATGAAGAAAAGCTTCCTTTTGTTTGTTTTAAACCAGCTACCTATTAATTTAATTTAGAAACCCCTAGTTTTTATATTATAGGAACAAGTAAATAACTTCTCCTTATTCACTTTTTCCACACCAGTCATGATTTTGCAGACCTCTATTGTATCCCCCTTTAGCCTCCTATTTTCTAAGATGAAAAGTCCAAGCCTTTTTAATTTCTCTTCCTTTTGATTAGTGGACCATCCAGACTTACACTGTTTTAACCCTTGACAACTACCTGTTAGAATTCCAGCCCAACGTGAAGACAAACAAGCAGCACATTCAGAATGAAATCAGTAGCTGGATAAAGATATACACATACACACAATATTCAGAATCATAGAATCATAAAACAGTGGAAGGATAGTGATAGAGATGCAGCCGTGTTAGTCTGGTGTAGCTGAAACAAAAGACAGAACTATGTAGCACTTTAAAGACTAACAAGATGGTTTATTGGGTGATGAGCTTTCGTGGGCCAGACCCACTTCCTCAGATCAATATGTGGAAAAAAATTGGCACAACCATATATACCGAAGTGATATAATCAAAAAAATGAACGCATGTGAAATTGGAAACTGGAAGGGACCTTGGGTGGTCGTTTAGTCCAGTCCCCTGCCCTCATGGCAGGACCCAGTACTGTCTAGATGATCCCTGGTAGACATTTATCTAACGTGCTCTTAAATATCTCCAGATAGAAATACACAGGTTCCCCCAAATTGTCATGTGTAAAGGAGCAACGTTTGTTTCTATTTTATGTGTACAGACACTTTAAAAATTAATTTCAAACAATGTTTCTTGGAGGATTTTTTGAATTTAAAATTGTTCTGTATATACAGGGACAATAGTTGGACAAGTCACGGCAGAAGACCGAGATGAACCTCATACTCTGCATACTTCCCTGAGGTATCGAATTGTATCACAACAACCATCGTCACCCAAAATATTTTCTATTAATTCTGAATCAGGTATCATAAGCACACTATCAACACAACTGGATAGAGAGGTAACTTTTTTTTAATCTAAAACATAATATTTAGTTTCACTTCATAGTTTTATGAACTGATATATTCAAAGAAGTATGCAACATTTTAATGAGACTAAAAAAGCACAATATATGGTTTCAAATTGTCTATAATGATTTAGAAGCGAGATTCTCCCGTAAGCTTTGGAAAAACACAGAAGAACTTGAATCTGAACTTTTTCTGTTTCCCTGATCCAATATGAGAGTGGATCAGCAAAGCAAAACTGGCAGTCTGAGGCCACATCTCCACTTGCCAGACTATCAATACTTTGGTGATTGGTTAGTGGGTCTTTACTAGACCAGCTAAATCAATTCCTGAAGGATCAAAGGCTGAGGGCATCCCTGTTGGCACTGGTACTTGTTATCGTGAGGAATAAGGAAAGTCAAGAGGAGCATTGACTCCTCTCCTCTCCAGTGTAGACTTGGCCTAACATATCTTGCTAGCGTTGCTTGACTGTGCCATATAGATATTAAGAAATAGCTATGCCCAGGGCAAGTAGATTTTAGCCCAGCATGGCGCCGCAGAGTGGTCTGTGCATGCTCAGTGCGCCAAACTGCATGGCTGGCGAGCGGTGTTCACCACTGCTTGTCAAGCCCTGGCTATGCCTATCAATTTTCTCTGTGTAGACAAAGCCTTGAACAATGTTGAGATTGTGGGTATAGTGAATGAGAAATATTAAGGTTTTGCAATGGAAAAATGAATCTTGATTGTAGAGGACAGATTACTTATTTCCTACAGATGAATTTTAGGACTTTATGAAGCAAAGTTATCCCCTCCAACTCAATAAACCAAATTTAGACCAGCAAATTTAGGGTGTTCGGCTCCTTCAGAGCCGCTCTGTCTCAGGTGGTGGTATTTTGTTACTACTGTAGCTACTCAAATTATTGGTATGCATTTTATAACTACTAAAATTATAGTAGTGTTTAAATACTTGATTCCCCTTCCTCTTTCCAGTGATTTTATCGGGATGTGTAAAGTGTGTTGCTCATGCATTGTCAGACCTGCTGACAAGCATGCCTTATCGTACTTACACTGAACAAAGATTCATCACAGGAGCATTTCTGTTCTTTCTATTCAAGATGTAGCATGAGAGGGGGCAGCACAAGATTATGGAACTAAGTTGCAATGAAGGATGCATTTTTGTGTTTCTCCCTCCGTGAGCAGTGGGAGGAGAGGGTGGAAATCTCATTAGCCAAACATGTGAGAGGGGAAATAAAGCAGCAACCCATGGGTGAAGCTCTTCATCATAAGATCCAGAGGAGAGACACCCACATATTATGCTAACTTCTGCCTGCCACCAAACAGTATCAGACTATATAGAACATCTTGCTACTTTTCTCAGCAGACAACACTGTGCATATGATGGAGGAGAAGTGGCTGCCATGTGGATGCGTTTGTGGGCTTTCTTTAAGGGAAGGGAAAATAGTTGTGGACTTAGGACATTATGAAGATCCTTCTATCAGTCAACATGACTCTAGGTTTCCAGTAAAACTTTGAGCTCCATGTATTGTTTAGTCACTGAAAAATATTTTATTCACATTTTCACTTTTTTCTATCCATAAAGCTGGTGGTTTGATTTCTCTTTTCCTAGAAAATATTTGCATGTTTAATGTTATATCTTTAGAAAGGCAGGGAAGGAAATAAAGTATTTAATTCTATGGTAAAAGTAATATGAATGTGAAAGTTTTCTCTAACCTTTTTTTTTAATGTTTATTTTTCAGGGAATAGCCAAACATACGTTGCTAATTGAAGTACGAGATATGGGAGGTCAGCCTTTTGGTTTGTGCAATACAGCAACAGCTGTCATTACCGTTGGAGATATAAATGACAATGCTCCAATTTTTAGCGTTACATCTGTAAGTTTGTTTTGTGTCTGTCACAGTTGTGGGGTTGACTGCACCTCTGTCCAGTGTTCCCTCTAATTTTTTATGTCCATGTGTGAAGTGACTTTTGTTATGTACACCAACCTGTAGGTGATGTGCGGAATGATTTCTGTTATGTGATACATGGACAGTGTGTGGTGAGGGTTAGGGTAAGGGCTTTAAATGGAGCCTTTGGATGTGGGAGGGGACTTTGGATTGGGGCAGGTAGTTGGGGTACGGGAGGGGGTGAGTGCTGCGGCTGAACTCTGGAGTAGGGCTGGGGATGAGGGGTTTAGGTGCAGAAGGGGGTTTCAGACTGGCAGTGGGGTGGGACAGAGGGATTTGAAATACAAGAGGGGGCTGTGGCTTGAAGCAAGGAGTTACTGTACAGGAGAGGATGAGGGCTCTGGGGTGGGCCTAGGGATGTGAGGTTTGGGATACCCGAGGGGGGCTCCAGATTTGGAGAGGGGCATAGGCCTAGGATTTGGAGTTGCAGGAGATGGTACAGGCCATGGACTGCGTTGTGGGCTTTGGGGGGCTCACAGCATGTGGGTTATGGGGTTTTTTGGGGGGGGGGCTCAGGGTGGGTCAGGCAGTTGGGGCTTGGGGTGTACCTGAGCAGCTCGTGGGCAGCAGTATTAGGCTGTGGCTTGAAGCAAGGAGTTACTGTACAGGAGAGGATGAGGGCTCTGGGGTGGGCCTAGGGATGTGAGGTTTGGGATACCCGAGGGGGGCTCCAGATTTGGAGAGGGGCATAGGCCTAGGATTTGGAGTTGCAGGAGATGGTACAGGCCATGGACTGCGTTGTGGGCTTTGGGGGGCTCACAGCATGTGGGTTATGGGGGGGGTTTTGTTGGGGGGGGGCTCAGGGTGGGTCAGGCAGTTGGGGCTTGGGGTGTACCTGAGCAGCTCGTGGGCAGCAGTATTAGGATAGGCTGCCTGGTGCTTGACTGTTCTGGGGCACCACGTTGTGCCCTGGAAGTGGCCAGCAGATCTGGCTTCTGTGAGGATGGGAGGGAGAGGCAGGAGCATGAGGCTCCATGACATGCTGTGTGCACTGTTCTGGCTTGCAAAACCGATCCTCAAGCTTCTATTAGCCAATTGCCAACTTCCATTGTCTAATTGTGGAGCCAGTGGTCTGGGCAGGACAGAATGTGGAGCTCTGTGGCCTCCCTATACCTAGGCCCAAGCAGGTCTAGCTCCAGCAAGGAGGGCCCCCATCTCCATGGAAACTGAACCACAGTGCAAGACTTTATTGTCAGTTAGTGGCCACAGACCTTTGAGGGAACTTAGCCTCTGACCCCTTTCTGGACTCTTGAGGTGTTTGGTCTCATACCCTTACCTGTCTTGGAGTGGAATCTTTTCATTTTTCCCTTCTTAGAGCAGAATCTGGTTTAAAAAATACCCCTCCTGGGTCAACTGAGTAGGCCAAGTCAGATTCAGGCACTTGCTTGATGCTCTCTTAAGGTATCCTGTGATCAATGATGTCCATTGACCAACAGCCTTTTTACAAGAAGTATGTTTATTAGACAGTGGAACAAAGCATTAGAAAACTATTCATGCTATTTTTAAAAATAGTTTTATTTACTCTTATCTAATCTAATGCTTCATTACAAGCCAAAGTTACATGGGGTTTCCTCTAGAGTTAGAATAGACCTAATGTTTGTTTGTTTTTTCCCAAGGAGACCAAGGAGCTCTGTGGGATCTAGGTGGGACCCTGTTAGTTTCTCCAAGAGTGACTCTCCCCTGTATCTCTGGTCTCCTCCAAATACCATGTTTCTCAAGTATCTCTATTACAGAGGCTAGATGCAAAGTCTCACTGTTCTCTCGGACTGGCTTCTAGTCATCCAGCTAGAGCAGGGTTTCCTAAAGAGTGTTCCGTGACAACACTGATGTGCTGCAAGGCAGTCAGAAGTGTGCCTCGGAGAAAACAGAATTCAAAATGACTGCCCTTGAAGGGACAAGCCTCAGTTTTTTCGTTGGTCACAACTTTTCCCTGGCGGCACGCTGCTTTTTTTTTTTTTTTTTGGTTTGGTCAACAGCTTTTCCCTGGGAAATAGCTACCCTTAAAGGGGCAAGCTTCTTTTTATGTTGTTTCCTTGATGTTCTCCATTTTAAAACACATTGTTCAGTGTTCCTCGGTCTTAAAGTTTAAGAAACACTGAGCTAGAACATCTAAGGGCATTTCCACACAGGAAGATATACCAGTATAAGAGAAAAAGTGTGAATTTAAGCTGCTATAATTATGCTGGTATAACTCCTCACAAAGGATGCTTTTATTCTGGCACGTGAGAGCTTTACTTTGGTTTTGGCTCATGTTAGTTTAAACTATAAAGCTGCTGTAGTGAGGCTTTTGTCTGTTTGTTTTTTTAAACAATTAATTAAGCATTCTAATTGGAAATGTAACATTCTTCAAATGAAATTTTGGTCCAAGTAAAGTGAGTAGAATTAAGGGTTCCACCAGAGAATGTTGAATATAGAAGTAGAAAACAGTGCTTAATACTTCCCTTGCAGAAAACCAACAAAAAACCAAACAGAAGAAACCAAATCTTATTACCAAAGCTTTACACTTGTCATTGAATTTAAGGCATTGCATTTAAACATCTTTTATGAACTGTGTAATTGATACTGTATTTCATATTTACTTTAAACAATAGATAATATAATTTTATTTCAGTATGAAGTAAGAGTGCAGGAAAACCGAGTGAATGTGGAAATACTGAGAATTCCTTGTTTGGACAAGGATGAGCCCAAATCACCTGCCTGGCAGTGCAAATTCGCTATTGTAAAAGGAAATGAAGATAAACATTTTGCTATTACAACAGATAAAAGAACAAATGAAGGGATATTATGTGTTGTTAAGGTAAGCAAAGATGAAAACATAAGCTCAAATCCTGGGAGTTAGTTGTTTTTAACACCAACTTTTTTGTTGAAGCTATAAATTCTGGTTAGCTAATTACACTCTATCTGTGGGATATTAGCTCTGCTTCCTTTTTGAATTGAACAAACAAATTCATCTGATACTTCTCTGAGGGTAGGTGGGTTTTTTTGTACATTTTTTGTTTTGTTTGTTTGTTTTCTGGCAAAAGTGTAGGAAATTTTATGTGCTTAGTGAGATTTGAAAATTATTCAGATATATTTTCCCTTTGGGACTTTTGCTAATGTTTTTGCGTGGTGGAGTACAGAAGGGGGTTGTGTTAAATTTTAATTCCATAATAGCTAGACCTAAAATTCCATATTTGGTTTAATCTGGTTGACAAGGAATGGGGTCTTTCACTAATCTGAAACAGGGTTATATCAACCTGAACTGGGAACCTTTTTTAGTTCACACCTTTTTTTAGTACCTCCCAAGGTGGGCAGAAGGTTAATATGCACTTGAGAAATGTAAGTAGCAGAGAGTTACTGTAGTGAGTATGGGCATGGCTAGCTTTCTGCTTAAAATATGATTTATATTTTAAACACACAGAACCCTGCTATGATGAAAGTATACTTTTCATCATAATGGTAGACTGTCAACTTCTACTCATTGGCCTGCAGAATGTAACAGTTCTAACAATTCTGCTACAGCTAGTGACATTTCTGTTCTGGTTTAAGAATTAATACTTGCCTTTCTCCGTGATGTCCGTGTTTGCTGTATGGAACATGGCTTCATCGCCTTTGTCCTCTTAAAGAGGAGAATCTTACATTGGAAAGTGCTAGGCAATTAAAACATTTCAAGGATATGTTGGGTTTTTTTTAAATGTGTTTATCAATATTTCTGAATAGGTAAAAGCAATCTGGTATCCCTTAGTGCAGTCGTCTCCAACCTTTTTACACCCAAGATCGCTTTTTAAATGACAGACTAAGCCAAGATCTACTGCCCCGCCCCTTCCTTGAAGCCCTGCCCTCTCTATTCTCCTCCTCTCCATCACTTGCTATCCCCAATCCTTATACTGCTGCTTTAAAAAAAAAAATTCTTCTGTAGGAAGAGGTTTTTCCAACATTTAGCCTGTCTAGACTGGACCAAATGTCAGGAAAAAAAAATTCTTTTGAAATCCACCTTATTCCTTGTGGAAAGAGGAATATAGGGGTGACCGAAAGAGCCTGTTTGCTTTTCCACTAAAAAAGCGGAAGAACAAACGCCACCCTGGATGCAGAAGAGTTTTTCTGGGATATCTCCAGAATCCTGAAAAACTCCTGCAGTCCAGCTGGACCCTTGCTGTGTTGAGACAGGATGTGTAGTGGGAATGAGGGATTTGGGTGTGGGAAGGGGAGCTGTGCTGGAGCAAGCTTCCTGGGCTGAGCGCAGGGCAGCCGTGTGGGAGCGAAGAGAAGCTCCACGTGGGCAGGCGCAGAGGAGAAGCCGCCAATCAGCTGGAGTGCATGGCAGCCTCTTTCAGCTGAAAGCCACAGTCAGCTGGCTGGGATGTATCGGCCCTCCTGACCTCCCAGCTCCCACCATTCCTTGCAGCTACTCACCTGTGTTGTTGCTTGGTGAGTAGCTGCTCCTCAAATGAGAAAATCTAATGTAAAGGTACTGCACAGGTGCGCAGTTCAAAGAGGGCTGAAGAGCTACTCTTAGAGCCCCTGAGATCTACCGGTAGATCACGATCTACTCGTTAGTGACCATGGCCTTAGTGTTATAAAAGAGAGACTTACTCCTTTTGAAAGGCAAGAAAATGGCCTTTATGGACAGCATGGATATCATGTTAACAAAAACCATTTTCATGGTGGCTGCTCTGCAAGTTCAGAGACTCTTGCCCATAGTTAAATTCTCACCAGGTACCCATATGCATTTCTAATAGGTAAGTATTCTTGAGTTGTGACAGCAGGAAGGAAAGACTGCAAGCATTCTTGGGAAAAAGTCAGGGTGTGTTTACACTGCAGTGGCTAGTAGGGATGGATGTTATAGTGTAATTGAATTGTCATGTAACAGCACAAAATAATATTGGTTATACAAGCTATTCAATAGTCCCCAAGTGCAGGGTTGGCAGCCAGTGCACTCCTGACCCTGTTCCTAGGGAGCTCCCTGCCAACCCATGCTGCTGCCTCTGTATCAAAGCTTCCTTTGCAGACCAAATGCCTGCTGCCCTGCGATGCTGCCTCTGATCTAGAGGGGGCGTGGCAGCAGCTCATATCAGGGGGCGGGGGTCTGAGCTCCCCTCAGACAGAGCCTGCTCTGTGGGATGTGGAGCAGTGTCTCTCTGTGGGGACTTCAGCCCACCATGGACAGAGACTACTTTGCAGCCTTGCCTGCCCCCTGTGCTGCTGCTTCAGATAGAGGCAGCAGTGTGGGCAGGCAGCAATGAGGAGCCAGTGCTGGGGGGAACTGGCATTTTAGCCAGCTCCCCCCCAGCACTGTCATCTGCCTGACCCCCTCACCCCACCACTGTAAGAGGCAGCAAGCTGTGTGTGTGTGGAAACCAGGTCTGTGGAGCCGATACGTGGGGGACCTGGCTTGAAAGCCTACCCCTTCTCCGCCCTCCATCCTGCTGCCGCTCATTACCACACCAGCTCCATCCGCCTTCCCTTGCTGCCTCTGATACAGGCTTATTGGTTAATCGTATAGTTGACTACATGTTGGCATCCCTAGTGGCTATGCTACAGTAACACAGCTATGATGTGGCAGCTGTGCTACCATAGTGTACATGCTATTGTTGAAAGGAGGTGTTTCTACCCATGTAGGAAGTCCACACTTCAAGAGGGAACAATTCTTGGGGGTTAGGTCAATTTGTACACAGCTCTCAGGATGCAAAATTGTTTACAGCTCTGAGTGTAGACCAGGCCTCCGTTAAGGAATTAAGCTATGGCCCTTGGGGTGAAAGGTAGGCAAATAAAACGTTACAAATATAACTTTTTGTGGTGCTCCTTATACCATGCAAGGGATGCTGCCACTTTTTTTCTTAGCGCTTCCTGAAAATCAGGTCTCTTTAAGGTTTCTCAAGTTGGATATCTAAGAATTGAGAGGTCCAAAATAACTAGTCCTTTCCTACAATCATGACCATTATGACTTTGGCTTTTTCTACTATTAGAAACTGTGATGAGAGAACTTATAGTTGGTTTTGGTGAATTTACTAGCTGTACATTTATTTTACAGGGATTGGATTATGAAATCAGCCAGCTAAAGATACTTGAGATTACCGTAGCTAATGAGATACCTTATATTATGGTACCATATTCAAGTTCACTTGCTAAGGGCATCTGTACTGTTAGAGTTATTGTACAAGATGTTGATGAGGGGCCAGTATTCAAACCTTGTTTGTTACGTATCACGATTGACGGATGCGCTAAAGGTGAAACAGTGGTCGGCAAATACCTAGCTGAGGACCCAGAAACCGGAAATAGCGACGGCATAAGGTGTACATTTTATTATTGGATTTATTAATTACATAATATTTGGGAATATGGGAGAGAAAAACATTATGCAATTAAAAAAAACAATTTTTATCTTTACTAGCTATCGGATTCCACCTGAGCAATGCAAATGGCTCTCCATTAATGAAAATTCAGGCGAGCTCAGAACTGTTACACTTTTGGACAGAGATCAGCAAGACATGACGAACAAGCAGTGTAACATTTCAGTCATTGCAATAGATCGAAGTGAGTACCAAATGTTTTATAGATCAAATAGGTTATGGATATATTAATCATACATGTTCATGTGCGCACACAAATATTCTTGGAACAGTGTCATTAAACTATTTTCTGGGAACTTGCAGTTAATTGTAATGGAGACAGTCTTTTGGCCATCATATTTTTGGGGAGTGGTAATTCCTGTTCCCCCAATGGGGGTGAGGGGAGGACAGTGATTCACTGGGAATGAGGGTAGCTTTTTGTGGGTTGAGCAACTGAATACAGCAGGTTGGGCCAAATTTCCAAAAGTAGTGTTCTTACGCAGTTTGGGCCAGGAGTACTGAAAAGCTCAGTTCTATTTAAAATGTTTTGATACTTGAACTAGTGAACGTTTTTTTTTTCCTTTGGGTTTGTTCTCTTCTGCTGGATTGGTCCCCTAGGTGGTACTTCAGACAGCCATGAGAATCAGGCTGTCAAATTGTAAATAGAAAATTCTTGTAAATCCCGTAAATGTTATCTCTAATCTTCTGTTTGATCCCTTGCTGTGAAGTATCTGATTTAAAAGCACTTTTAAGAATAACTTGGGTTTGCTGTGTTCTATATTATATTGTGACTTTCTTCTCTAGTAAACTACCTAGGGCTAAATTTTTTTTAAACACTTATCATAGTAAGCAGGGCTCGACAATTAGTGTAATCTACTCACCCATGGCGAGTAGATTGCAAGCCGGCATAGCCGTGCGGCGCGGTCTGCGCATGTGCAGCGTGCCGAACTGCGCGGCTGGCGAGCAGGTCTCGCCACTGCTTGGCAAGCCCTGACAATAAGTAGTACTTACTCAGATTAGTAGTCCCTATTTTACCTGGGATTACTAAGTAAATATTACTCGTCTTGCTTAAGGCTTACAGAATCAGATTTCCATGAGGGATGTGAAAGTATAAACGTGTACATGGTTAACCAGTGAGCCTTCATGGTTTTATATAGGCTCCCCCTCCCTTAAAAGGCTTCTGTTACAGAGGTTGTGTGTGTGGGGGGGGGGAAGTAGGTAGGAGCAGGTGACTCTGATACAGAGGCAGCAGCAAGCAAATCTGCTTAGGGAGCCATCTTAAAAGCTGTCTCTTTGCACGTACCAGTTCCCAGGGAGATTACTTCTCCTCCCTCCCCACCATCCCATGTAATGTGTAACTGCTGACATTTTCAGCGGTTGCATGTTTAACTAAATAAATTTAAACATCCCTAGTTTTCATTCTATAAAACAATTTTCAAAACCAAAATCTATCAGTTTAACATTTAAAGATTACATAACCTATGGGTACTCATCTATATCCTTTATTATCCTTGGAAAAGACATCATTGAGATGAGCTAATGTAAATACCCTTTGTTTTCCAAAAGCTTAGTGTAGCTAATAGAGTCTCAAGGTAGTTTTAATGATTTGTAGCCCACAGACTTACTAATATTTTGGTATGCCAATATGGGTACTGTTAGAGGCATTACAAAGATGCATTTCATATAGAAATAAAAAAGGCTTTGGACCCAGTGACAAGATCAAGCTCACAGTCAAGATCGCAATCTGTTAAAACTTGAATGGGAATGAATTAAAGTTTCTCAAATTGCTTTGTAAGCAGAACCTGTTCTTAAAAAGTTTTATTTTTCTGTGTAATTTCTTAAATTTTGCAGTTTATAATGCTAAATGCAAATAATTTTATTGCAAATTTTATTATACCATGTATAATGTAAATGCAGTATATAATAGTGACCAAATACCCATAAAAGGAGGTGGTAAGAAATAATTGACCTTTTTAGCATTCTGCATATATAAAGCTTCATCATTTTTGTGAAGGATACTAGATACCTTTAAGTGGTTTAGGAGGAGGATTTTTCCTGGCTTTGGTGGCTGTTGTCATATGTCTCTCTTATATGTAGAGGAGGCATTGCTGCATCCCATCGCTGAAAGATGATGCAATGAAAAGGGTAGGGATAATAGAAGTGCATGTGAAATGAATTCAGCCATCTAGACCAAGCGTGTGTACATCAGTATGCAGAACTGTTGATCCCTGCCTCCTGGTGCACTGCGCTCCCATATTTGTAAACACCTTTGTTTAGTTTTGATCAGGATGGAGACTTTATAATGTAAAAACAGGTTTTGGAGACCGGGCTGGCTCTAGGTTTTTTGCCACCCCAAACAAATTTTTTTGCCACCCCCCCCCCCCGTCCTCATGCAAATGCAGCTTGCACGGCTTGCTGGGGGTCTGCGCGCAAATGCAGCTTGTGCGGCTTCCTGGGGTTTGGGGGCGCGTGCTTCAGGGAGAGCTCAAACCCTGGGACATTCTCATCTCCTAGGAGAGTGCCAGGGACTCCCCACGTGAGGACAACGGGAGGGCAGGTTCATCCACAGCAAGCTATTTAGACTTCCAAAGCATGCAGCTGTTCACATCGCCTAGTGCTGGAGTCCTGGTCCCACTCCTCACTCTGCAAAGGGATTATATTACTAGAAGCCTTATAATCATTCAGTTTCCAACCCCAGCACATAAGCTGTCCAACTCTTGGTGTCCATGGACAAGAATTGGCCTCACTATACAATGAAACAGTTCAAAGAGATTAAGAGAACTTTTGTTTCAACTCCCCGGCTCAACTGTCCAGAACAAGACAGGCACCAGGCAACAAAACCCCACTAGCCCAAGACCTATTCCTTAAGTGCAGTCCTGTAATTTCTCCTTCAGGGAGGGACCAAACAGCCTCTGAGGCAGGGTGGATTGATTTAAATAGCTTTGATTTAAATTTCTACTTTTAATCATGATTTAAACTGGCAAGCAGAAAACTTAGGTTTAAATGAGCAATTAATCATTTAAATTATACTTTTAAAATATTTTCCTATAGGATGGTTGTCGTCTTGGTTAGCAACCTTTAAAACATGTTGATTTACAACTAAATATAACCTATTTGGCGCTTCTATTTACTAACCAGGAAAATACACTAAGTACAGCTATCAACTAAATAAATGCCCAAATAATTGTGTAACTTACATGTAATCAGATTCTTAATTTTTACATTATTATTCTATTACAAAATGGTGTGTAATAGGAACATGTAAGAGACAGGTTTTACCCCATTTATTATTTGCTAAGTGGTGGCTACTTTTTTAAAAACATAATTTGTATGTACTTCTGTCTGAATGGAAATTTTATTTAAAATAAACAAAACCAGCATTTAATTTCTGTATGAAAAAAAACTACCTTAAATGTGAAGGACGCATAACAAAAAAGTATCCAAACACATTTTGCATCTAAAATTCATTTATTAAACAAAGGAAATATCCATAGTGAATTTAACAGATCAATTCTAGTCGTCATGTTCTTCAAGATGTTAGAATGATCTCATAACCAGTTTTTTACTGAGAGAAGAGGAAAACAAGTTTTTCTGCTTCATCAACTCTCGGTTTTGATATGGTGAATCAACTAATCATTGAATTGAACTAGCTGAATAAACCAAAGTGATAAAAACATTCTTTCTTCCCCTGCAGAAGAAGCTACTGCTGATGTAAACACTGGTTCTGGGTACTTATACTAGTGAACTGATAGAATTTCGTTAAAAGTTGACAGGAGACATGTTCTATTTAATTTTTAAATTTAATTCATAAATTATATAACTAGGTTATGATAAATTTAGGCCATAACAATTTTTAATTTAATTTTTTAAGGTATATTATTTAAAACAAAGCCTATTTAAATGGGATCACAATTCCAATTTTAATAAAGCTCTCCTGCCCCAGACAGGAAGGGACTTGACGACATGGGCACTGGAAACACCAGAGTTCCCCTTCCTCAGACAAAGGGGGAGGGAGAATCACCTGGGTCCCAGGCAGGTGTGAGGTTGTCAGGACACAGCACAAGGGGGCTGGGTTCCTGGGCAGAGGGTGTGTGTGTGGGGGGGAGAGGGTTCAGGGCCCAGAGACTAGGGGGAGGGGGGATTGTTTAGAGATCCAGACAGATATGGGGATCCAGGTGGGAGGTGGGATGGGGGGGAGAGGAGATGAGGTGCCAGCAGGGTGGCAGTGGGCCAG